CTTGTTTTATTCCTTTTTGCCACTGATTAAAATAAACCGTATTCGATGCGGAACTTTCCCTTGCACTTATTTTCACTTAAAAGACACTTTCCCATTTGAATCTTCCTGTTAGCCGACCAAGCGATCGTGCCCCGGTGCATTTGCGTGTGGAACATTTCTCAAACTTTCACTCAGATCCACGCATACAAACACATAATTCAAATGGCACAGAGTCATTCCTGGCAGTGCGCCTTCTCACACGTATTGCGCAACATGTTTGGGTACATCGTTGAGGTACAAGCGGGCATTTGTGTGGATATATTTGTTGCAGCAGTTACTTGCCACCTACTACATAGGCTGTCGTTATAAGTATTTTTAAGAAACAATAAGGTAAGTAAATTAAGTTATTCAGGCAAATAAAAAATTGAAAAGTTAGGAATTTTTAATAATGTTTATTTTATTTAGTACTTGAATTTAAAAAGTGGGAACATTATATTCAATAAAAGGTAATGAGAATTGCATCGGGGCTGAAAATGTAGGATGTATCCTCCCGACTTTCATCTTCAGCATAATGGTGAGATCGTTGTTTAAACAGCGTTTACAAGCTAAACCAGATGTATCACGCTTTTTAAAAAGAATTATTCTTTCTCATTCCTTTGACTGTTTCACAACCTGTAACGTCATCAGCGTTTTTCGATTTTAGTTTTTGTAATTAATTTTTAATACTTTCTTTTGCGACTGGTTTGAAAAATTTGTGCTTATAGCGAGCTAAATAGGTAGATATGGAAAATAAATTATTATTTTTCAGGAACGAAAATTTTTAACAAAATTCTGTTTTCAAAGTCGTGGCTGCCAGCCGAATCGGATTATTTTTTTAAAAAAGCACCCCGATTTTTTATATGTAAGCATTAGTATCGTAATTCTTACTTAATTAAAGGCCAGATCTATATAATTATTTGAGCATCGATTCTCTTTGTATCCAGACGTTGACCATTTCTGCTGGAAATCCCTGTTGAAAGAGCTTACTTCTTGACTTCAAATAGCAAAACAAAAAAAAAAGAAATTTTTACTAAAATGAGTATGTTCTCTTTGACGTACGACTGCCCATTGATATCTCGGTTGTATAGCTTAGGAAATAATATGCTTAAAGACATTTTTACCAAAGTTGATAAATATGTCATGTGACCAGTTTTGTTACACAAATACTCCCACGACCATAAACAAAAAATATTGGCCACAATTTGTCGTTTTGTTTGCCATATATACGTTTTATCGGTGCACTTGCACAACATTCGCATTCGCAAAAGCCCCGCATTGATTATTGCGAATGCGATTGTTAAAATTAAAGCGGAAGCTCCGCGGTTGCGAAACCCCTGGTATGTACATAAATATTTATGGACTCATTTGTTGCAACTGGGCATGAATCACGTAACTTTGAAACGATATTCGTTCAAACGATACTGACAAAACGATGTTGTCAAAACACTGATTTATGCATTTGTGTTGCTGTTACGTGTTACTGTTACTGTTACGTGAAGCAAAACTGTAATCGAGTTGACGATATCGCACAAACGATCAAACAATTTTTGATTTTTATGAAGCAAGACAATCTCGACACGATATCGTTCAGACGATCGTCGTCATACGTGATTCATGCCCTGGTTTTGATATTTGTAGATGGTTTTAGGCATAGGTTTAGTAGTCTATTTTGATAAAAAAGCAAGCCGAAAATTAGAAAAAATACTGAAATCATTTTAACTGGGACCGTTGATAACTGATGAACATACATGAATATATGTATGTATAATATGCATATGTATGGATGATATAATACCTCTGATCCAATACTTTTCGTGTAAAATCCTGGAAAAAGGTCAAACAGCAAAATCACTCTCTGAAGTGCGACTAAAAAGTGAGTAACAGCAAAACGTACGGAACAAAAAAGCATCGGGTAAAATCCTGCAACTTCAATCTCTACACAAGTCTCCCAAAAATTCATTTACATGAACCACAGATTATATTCCGAAAAGTAAAACTAAATTTAGGAATATATACAAATAGAAATGCTCAAACTATAAGCTCAAAAACAATAACTGATGCGGTGTTTCCAAGATATTTTAACGCGCTTGAGTCACAAGTATATACAAGTATCATATTTTATCAATCCTACCGATAATACAAGAATTTTTAATTTCAATTAAAAGAATTAAAAATGAAAATGAATAAAAAAATTAAATCAGCAAATTAAGNTTTTTTTTTTTTTAATTTGCCACCCCAAAATAATTGATATTAAATAAAACACCTCTTTGAGGCAGTTAAAAAATGCGTATAATTCTCGTTACGAAATTGATATCATAAATTTTGTGTTTCTAGTTCAGCTTTCGTCACTCAAAAATTTTACCTCAAAGAGGTGTTTTATTTGATATTCATATATACGTGTATCTTCATCAGTTATCAACGACCTAAGTAGTCACAATAGTGCCATTTTTGAAATATAGAAGTTTAGCATAAAATGCAAATATATAACAAAAAATTGCATACCACTTTATAGATTAAAAAATTACAAAAAGTGAAAATTGAAAGCACTTACAAATTAAAATAAGGGCTGTGAAAATTATTTGCGAACCGCTGAATTCTGTTGTGAATATGCAGTATGGAAAGTAAGATTTCGCCACAACAAGCTTTTAATTCAGGATTTTTGGAAAGATTCTAAGTTCGCAGTTTTATAGTTTATTAAATGAAAGTGCCAGTTTCTGCAATATCCCGATGATTTTTGATATTTTTTTCTGACGGTGTCATACATTTTGATCCATTTAAAAAAATTTCGAGCACACTTTATATGGAAAAAATGCATAACATCGAAAACTTGGAATCTTCTTAAAAATTCTGAATTTTGTTGCATAATTTTTGTACAAAGTTTGAAATGGCGATTTGTGTACATTTATTGTGCTTATTAAATTATGAACTAGACTTTTATTTAAAATCAATTAAAAAATAATCAATGAAAATAATAGGCAAAACTGGTCAAAATGTCTTACTGCCATTATTTCGCATATAGGTACATACATATGAGTGTAATAATGTCAGAATAGCTGTGCTTCGGTGTATTTCCCTTCCGTAATTGGAATTCTGTGTAATTTTACTATGAATTTATGTTTTATGTCTAATAGGCAACATAGACGGTGCGTCTGACTCGCGAGTCAACTGTGTACGTGTTCACTCGCCTTTCGACTACACACAGTTGAGTCATTCAGAGTCATACCAGAGTCATGTCGGTGTAACTAACACATATTTATTTTTACTTAACACATCCAAATCGACTCGCGATTCAGATGCACCGTGTATGCCGCTCCCTCATAAAAGTGATTTACTGTAATAATTTAATTAATTAATAATTTTTATATGAAGAAATAATTATTATAAAAGAAATTTAATTTTGTGGCACTTTCATATTCGTTTCGGCACAATTTTTGAAGACCATTAGGCACCTTTTGAAATTTTGAAATTCCATCCCTGCTTGTACCTCACACGAATCATGCATGCATGACACGCAACATACTTCAGTATCGATACGAAAAACAGTTTCGTTACCGCACAATATGTTGTGTTGTATTGATTGACGTTGATGGTGCATATACGGAACATGCGAGTAACGAGATTATTATGTGAGTAACGGTTTGGTACTGCAAGCACTTTTACCTCACAAGAATCATCGCAACGATTCTTGCAGCGTAAGGAAATGTTCGTTCATACATATACATACATGTGCATATATACATATGTATACACGCAACATAGTTTTGTATCGATTCGAACAATTTGATACAATCAAGCACTTGTACCTCACACGAATCATGCATGCATGTACGTACATACACACGCAACACACTATAGTATTGATACGAAAACAATTTCGTTACTGCACAATATGTTGTGTCGTATCGATCCACGTTGATGGTGCATACACGGAACATGCGAGTAACGAGATTATTATGCGAGTAACGATTCGGGTCTTCGAGTCAGGGGTTGTATTCGTTACTCAGTAACGAATACACGCGGTTTGCTACAGCTCTAATATTTCGCCATCAACACTTTTAGGCTGAACTCTCAAAAGGTAGACATAATCCATTTGAAGATAATGACCCCTATCTCCTCCATTACAAAATATTTGAACTTGTTTTACCAGCACGTCGGTCAAATTATAAGTTTTTCGATTTGAGGAAGTTTTGAGTAGATTGATATAAAAAATTGTCTAAATTTTCCTTAAAACTCTCTCTTTCGTTTACATTAGCGACGCTATGAGTAAATTCATTGAAATCTTCTTCAAAAAAGGCTCAGACTGCAATTTAAAAGAACACTTTAAAGCTTTTTGTTAATTGCAGTCAAAACGGCATTTTAAAAAAAATCATACTTCAAAATTCATAAACAAATTGTTACTATCAATTCGATATTTCAAAATTTTCGGGATCCCGGGATTGGCAACCCTAGTATCTCTGCAACTGATTCGCCTAATAGGTTTGTCTATAAAAATATTATCCTTATTTTCGAGCTTAACTCCCTAATCTGTAATTAGAAAAAGAGATTAGCCATACAAAATCATAATTATAAAAGTAATTTTTAGTGTCCAACCCTGTTTTATCGATTATACTTGCGAAGAAGAGGAGGAATCCCAAATGTTAAAGTAAACAAAAATTAACGCTAGTAAGGAAAATAGGTTTGTAAAGGTATTTTTAATAAAATATTCAGTTAAAATACATTTAATATGTGTTGCTGAAAAGAGTTACCACGGTGGCACAGAGAAGAAGTTTAACTTTTCCTCGAGTTGTGTGAATAACAAGCACAACCAATTTGACAGCTAACGAGCTTTGATTGAGATTATATTTATATGTAAACGTACTTTTATGCTTTGCCGTTCGCATATGTTTACACATCAAATTTCGTGAGTACCTAGTACTCACGCCTTTTTTTGTCGCGGTAGACTTTCCGATGGAAACACCCTTATGAGATAAACAATTACTTACCAGTAAATCTGTCTCCGTAAAGTTAGCTTTTATTGTTAGCTGACCGAATTCAGACCTCGTAATACTATTCTGTTTTCCCAGCAATTCAATATAATACTGATGAATTAAGTCAGCGCTTTCAAATGCATGTAAATCCAATGCTTTTTCAACTTCTTTTAAGACCTCGATATCTGATGTTACTATATTTCCAACTTTAAAACATGATGTCATCACTACTAACGTTTGTTTTAAATTTTGGAAAAATGAGGGCGGGCGTCGTTTCTAGAAACAAAGGTTTTAAAATTTAGTATAAATAATGTACAGAAATTTATTTATTTATAAAAAGTAATACTTTAGTGTAACCAGAATGATTAAAATGTGACAGTCATATGTATTCAATAAAAAAGTTTGTCTATAATGTCAACTTTAAGTACCCAAATGGGCGTAATGGGCTACGAAGGCGTATGGATTCTAGATCGTCTAACTCTCGAGCAATATGATAAATAGGCATTGAAATTTTATGAAATTGTATATTTGTATGAAGACTTGCTCTAGCTGCCAGTCTCCTAAAATTTCCTCCAACCCCGTCGCAAGCAGATTTCCCATGTGAACTTGCAACAAAGTTCAATTCTGCCATTTCCTTGAAGGGATTTTCGTGATTTCAGACCTTTAGTAAAGTTCATATGATCTATTCATATTTTTTTGTTTCTTACACACCTTTCCTCTTTCAAAAGTATGTATATAATTTCATACAATTTTAATGCCTATTTATCATATTGCTCGAGTAAAAAAAAAAATAAAAAAGAAAAAGGTTTACTTAATTTATATTTTTTTTTATACGTTGCAGATTAATATAAAAAATTTATAATTAAATNAAAAAAAAAAATCAAAAAGAAAAAGGTTTACTTAATTTTTATTTTTTTTTATACGTTGCAGATTAATATAAAAAATTTATAATTAAAGCCCATAATAAGATAGAAGAAATACATTTTTTTAAATTAAATTTCGTTAAAAGGTTTCCAAGATACAGCACTTTAAAGAAACGTATGTATGACGTTTTCTTAAAATTTAAGTCCCTTGTAAATAGACTACCCGATGTCATATCGGCCAAATATGCTGCACATATATTCATGTCACCTAGACCTCCAATCTCTTCAACTTTCATCCAAACCCTTAGAGTTCGCGCACAATCTTACTAATCTTACTATAGCCGTGATAGCAGCATACGGTAGGACAGCTGTATATCTTGGGTGTTATTGAATGAAATGCAATAATAATTTTTTGGCACTGCAGGTGTTTTTATTTAGGTTAAAATATCTCAAATAAATTATATAATAGAATAAATACTATCTAATTTCTTACGAATAATAACTCAATAATGATTTAACAGAATTTTTTTAATATTTCAAAGTATCTATTAACATAAATGCATTTTCCAATACAATTATCAAACATTTGATTTTCGATAAAGTTTCGGGTTTTACTTTAAGGCATTTATTGTCATTGCAAAAGCTAAGTGAACTGGAAACTGATAAGCACCTACCATTGATATGTTTGCATACCAAATTTCAATTTTATGTGACTTATGGTTCCGAAGTTATGGCTGATTAAAAATTTGCAGGCCTACGGGAGGTGCTACGCCCCTCGCAAAATTGACACCATATTTGCAAACAAAACCATACCTATAACCTTCCCGGGGTAAAAACAAATAAGTGTGCAAAGTTTCGTGCGATTCCGAGTAGAGGTTCAAAAGTTATAAGACATTCACATTTGTATATATAAACTGTGAAAAGTTTTACATTGTCACGGTTTTCAGCATTTTTCAACAATTTCTGTTGAAAATACGTAGCATAGTGATAGAGAATTTGACTTTGCCAACTTTTATACAAACATTTTTTTCGTACGACGCAACGCTTAGATCACGACCGGGAACGTGCCAAACATAGCGATGTCAGGGAAGCGGCGTAGAATTCATTTCAGCATCACGTCAACTGGTACAGTACGACGACGAAAATTTTATAGGATGGATTAAAAAGATTAAGGTCTTAAAATGATCACATAGACACCCCTCATGAAAAACAGTGTCACCTTTTGAAAAATTTAAGATGGCGTCTAAACTAACCGTAAATTAGATTTTGCTTTACAGCTTTTACGTCACCGAAGAACCGAACACTAAAAAAGAAAAAGTAAAAGCAGGTTCTTATGTTTTTGAAGTTGCTGATTACGAACCTAGAGCATGATTTAAAAAATCGATAATGGTGAATCCAATGTGGCGGCCAAAAAGTTAATATTGATTCGGTTCGGGTTCTTGGGGCTGCTTATTACGAATCTAAGGTGGGGTTAAAAAATTCAAAATGGAGGACTCAATATGGCAAAATAAATCGTACAAAAGTTGTGGAGAATAAAATTCTCTACAACTTTGGAGTTTCAACATGCTACGTATTTTTAACAGAAATTGTTGAAAAATGGCGAAAACCGTGACAATGTAAAATTTTTGCGCAGCTTTTGCGAATTATTTAAAAAGAAAGTGTTTTTTAACCCATAACAACAAAGTAGCAGACCCGGCGAACTTCGTCCCGCCCAAAATTAGGTTTTTAATTTAAACATTTTGGTCCAACATTTTCTCCAACAATCCACATTTACGATTCAAACTTTTTTTATTGCCAACCGGAATCTGTAACCAAAACTTCAAAAATCAGTACAGCCGATCTCGAGCTTTGCGAACGGAAAAAAAACCGCTTTCAAAATATATATTAGTATAGATGTGGGAAATTAAATTCTCTACAATTTTGTATAAAACCATTTTTTATGAAAAATGCAAAATAAGCTTGCAAATCGCAAAAAAACAAAAATCCAAGATGGCGGAATTTGGCCATATAAAATTTAAAGGCAAGACTGTGAATACATGATCTACTGCATCAAAAACCCGATGTTACGATCTTTTTTGAGAAAAAGGCTAATTTTACTGGGCTAACATGTTGTTTTTAAAATGGGGTGAAAAATAGTTAAGCTGTTAATAGCCAACTGCATCAAGTACAAGCATAACGGTTGTTTTTAAATAAATTGAAGGTTTAGGAACTATACTGAACCTATTTTCATGTTGTACTCGACCATAGCTACAACCAACAGTAGGTTTTGTTTCCGGTGTATTTCGTGACTTTTTTTGTAGCACCGTGCTATTATTGAACAAGGATTCTTAGATATTAGTGTGAAATTAAATTTTTTAATTTTCGGTATTTCAAACACGATATTATCGATGCGATGAGGTTTTTCAATTTCGGCATTTCGATAAATGGAAAAGCGATATTTTTTAAAATATCAACAAGCCTCCAATAATGCTTAAAAGTGCTCCGAAATGGGAGGAAATATTCGTGAGTAGGCTTCTACGCCATTTTAAAAACAAGCCCAGAACTACTTCACCGAATTGCTGCAAGAGACAAATATTTTACCAAAAATGATGCCAACGCTGAAGATGGTGATGATGAAGTCTTCGAAGACGGGAACATGTGATCTTGGTGATAGTTAATTTAATTAGGATATGTATACTGAGGGACATAATGCATAGTAAAAATGAATACTTTATATTTGATTATCGTTTAAAAATATTCGTATTTAAAAATAATATTTTTATACCTAAATTTATTACGCACTTATTTGACTGTTGACGTCTGAGTACGGATATGTAAGTTTACATATACGTATGTATCAAGCATGCAGAGCGGTGACAATAAACACATTCATACATAGTACATGTTTATATGTACGTACAAATCGCGTGCTGTGGTTTTGATGGAAATTCAACATTTGAAAGTACATTTATATGTCTGGTAGAACTGTAAAACTATCGATAGTCATCCCATTCGATCTTTTTGATAGTTTGCATTGAAACTGTCGATACTATCGAGAGTATCGGATAATTTTAAAACGTATTGACGAAGCTTTTTATATAAACTTTTTCGTTTTATTTAGTTCCTGAAGAATTAGCTAATTGTAACTTTGTCCTTTCTCTTCGATTCTTAAAATATTTTAAGCCGTTAATATAAAAACTATGAATTCCCAATCGTAGGAAAATAAAGGTAACTATAACCGTTGTATTACAAAAAACTTTCATCAGTCCAACTCCGGCTACGCCGCAGTAGTTTTGCATAGAAATCACTCCAAAATTTACTGAAAAGTCCATATTTCAAGCGTGTGCCGAACCGTACCCCGACCTCTACGTGATTATTTATCCATTCAAAGTATCAAACGGAAATACAAGAACCGCACCCTGACCTCTACATGATTATTTATCCATTTAAAGTATCAAACAGAAATACAAGAATCTCGAAAGTTTGACTAACCCTGGCTTATATCATTACTTTCTCCCATCGACGCAGAATCACTAACACCATAGTATGGTTGCAAAAAGATATTCAAACTAGTTTTTTCAAATTTATTTACACCCGATTTACATGATTCAAGTACTTTAAAGCAATTCTGGTTCAGTTTCTTTTGTGTTTTATATTTGCTTTTATACGCTTACATTTTTTTGGATTTCAGTTTCTGGTTCTTTAAATCGGAAACAACGAAAATGTCAATAGCAAAGCAAGAAACTTGAAGCCACTTGACAGTACAGACGCATATGTACTCTTCCCTTTTCTTCTCAACCTCTCTCTTCCACTAGCAAGCAGAATTGAATTCAATACTTGAACCGTGTAAAACCCGGTAACAGGTAAAAAATAGTGTGTATAAGCAAATCGATGTTTCCAAACTCCCATTTTCAAAAATAAAGAAACTTAACTTTAAAGCTGACTTTATATTTCTGTGTTCATATGGAACAGTAGCTTATGTCGAAAGGCTGGCTTTAGTATAATGCGGCATTCGCAGCAATAGTGCAAAAAATAGAACTATTCGATAGTATCGATAGTACCATCGATAGTTTTACAGCTCTAATGTCTGACTGTAGCTGTGTGCGCAAAGATGCTTGCCACAATTCGTTGATATCCAGAGATGGTTTGAATTCCACTGCAAGCAACAAGCAAATTAATTTTTTTTTTTGTTTTTATCTTGATTATTCACTCCATGGATGCTTTTTCACAACGAACGCGGTCATTTTAATATGCGCGTATTTGAATTGAATATTTGCCAATATACAGTACTTTCGTTAGAGTTTATAGTAAGATCAATTAAGTTTCTGTTTGATTTTAATATTCTTTCCCCTCAGTGTAGTCCTTTTATTGTGCTTATTTCATTCCTATATCCCGCGAAATTGTTTGCGATGAAGGAATGCTTAGGTATACATGCCACTACATACATACATACTTACAAACATGTGCAGTAAATATGGTCAGTAAAATGTTAATTATCTGAATCGACTAATGATTTAGTATCAACTTTTGTGAACTTCTAAACCGCACAACATATAACTATTGGTTTCAATAATTTTAAGCTATAATAAACAATTTTTTTATTTACTGGTCTTGAAAGAATTTTTTTTTGTATAGGTTAAAGCTTGTGGCATAGGGAGCAAAGTTCAGATTCCTCGTTGGAGACTCAAAAATTTAAATTAAAATCGATACTATTGTAGTCGAAGATATCACATATAAGTTTTAGTCCCGATTGAAGTCGGTTAAGGCATGTAGCACAGGGGTCAAAGTTCAGATTACCCTATGCAGACATTTTAACTGACTCCAATCGGGACCAAAATGTATATGTGTTGTCTTCGACTTTAGTACTATTGATTTTGGGTATTAAATGAAAAAAAATTTTAATTTTTTGAGTCCATAGAGGCATCTGGCCTTTGACCCATTTGCGACACGGCTTAATCGACTCCAATCGGGGCCAAAATTTATATGTGATATCCGCCACCATGGTATTACCGATTAAGGGGTGAGACTGAAAAAATCATTCATTTGATGCTAGAGATCACCCTCCTAGGGTTCACACTAAGCCAATGAGAAGCCTATCCATAGTCCATAACCGAAATTTAAAAAATCGGTACAGCGCTTTTCGAGAAAAAACGGGGTTAAAAATACATATATAGATATCATCATAATATTTATGATTCGCTTGGAAAATAGGAGCTTTTCTGTGGACCCAGCTTGCTGTTAATACTAAAATTACTTTACTCACATCTAAATTTAATTGTATGAGGTCGAACATTACAACCGATATTTCAGTCCAAATTGCATCTAATATCCGCTCGAAGTTTACTTCATTCAAAGTATCGTATAATGTTTCTAAGGATGTTTCCATATACATTAGGAGTTTTTCCATAGAATTAGAATCCTTATGTAAAACTTCAGCGCCTTCTGCTAAAAATCGTCTAATCGAAGGAGCCATGCGCCTGGCTACAATGTCAATAAGCTCAGAAATTTGGTTTCTTTGTGTATCTAAAGCATTGTCGATTAAACATTTTATTGTGGTAGCACAACGATCCGCGTCAAGATTCGTACGGAAATCAGATATTTTTTTAATGAGGTCCTCAGCACCCAACTCCTGTAAAAATTAATGTTACTAGTTAATATAATTTTGTAAAAATACGGAAAAATCAAACCTTAATGAACGCAGGCAAGCTTTGTCTAATATAATCGATGTTATTAATAGCAAAGCACCACTCTGTGGAAACAGTAAATAAATCGTCTTCTCTAGCTTGAGATTCAACATGCCGCGACATCCTTTTTGAATAAAATACACAGCAGCGACAAACATCCTATAAAAAATGTATATTGAATATATGAAGTTCTAAGTGAAAAAACATATCGTCACTAGACACGAATAAAGGCGCGAGCTCAAACGTTGACCGCGAGAAAAGGCGCATAAAAAAACTTCAGCGAAGAAAGACTCTTAACAAAGTTGACGGCGAAGAAAGACGCGTTAAAATATTTTACGGCGAAGAAGGACGCGTAAACTTATTTTTGCGGTCAACTATGTTTGCGGTTGTAATAGTATGTACATTCCGTAAAGACTTTTTGGCGAATAATGCTGAAGTGACAGTCCTTGGCCGTGTATAAATCTATGGTTACGCGTCTTTCTTCGCCGTCAACTAGGTTACGCGTCTTTCTCCGCCGAAGTTTTTATTAAGCGCCTTTTTTCGTACAATTTTTTTTATGCGTCTTTTTTCGCCGTCGAAACACTAGCGCGCCTTTACTCGTCTCTAGTGACGATATGGTAAAATCAAAATATGTATGTATATTCAACAACATTGAAGGACTTCGACTGTATTCTCCTTAGAAAGTATGGAATTCCACATCGTATTGAAAAAGTTTGTGTATTTACATTTTTTGCACGGTGGAAATGTGATAAGAAGTTAGTTCCACTTAATGACATTAATAGCCATGCTAAAAAAAATGCTTCTTGTAATAACCCGGAAACCTACTAAATTCGTATAAAATATTAGTTAAAACAATTGCCAAATTTATTGAAAATTCAATTAACAACGTAAAACATCTGTCTCCAACAGCTTCTCAATTATCTTTATATCATCGTATATACTTCCAAGTATGGAATCCTATGCCCCTTTTTGTCTATTCCCTTTCTAACAGCGGACGTGCCTGCCAAACTGAAAAGCATGATGGCGGCAGTATTTGACAGGCACGTTCGACGATGTGAACGGAAATGAAAGGTAAGAAATGGAAGATGGATGACATGAGAATGAAAGAATTATAAAATAGCAGAATGTCGAACCAAAACGAATTTCAAAAATCTGACAATGCGAATGACGTCAAAATGAAAGAAATGCAAAATAGTGAAATGTCGAAACAGAAGAAATAGATGACAGACCCGTGTTCAAGGGTTTCGTGTAACAAAGAGTTGTTGTGTTGCGCCATTCAATATTAAAAAAAATTCAATGTGGTTAAATACGCTTTTTTATTAAGTTGAAAAAACTACATACATATTTCGCCAGCCAAAAAGTGTATAAATAAATATATAGCATCTTGCTATAAGATTTATTTATAAAAACGGTATATGCTTATGGCCTTATTCATAAAAAATTGAATAGATTTAAAGAGCTCTATACAGCAACANTTTTTGCGGTCAACTATGTTTGCGGTTGTAATAGTATGTACATTCCGTAAAGACTTTTTGGCGAATAATGCTGAAGTGACAGTCCTTGGCCGTGTATAAATCTATGGTTACGCGTCTTTCTTCGCCGTCAACTAGGTTACGCGTCTTTCTCCGCCGAAGTTTTTATTAAGCGCCTTTTTTCGTACAATTTTTTTATGCGTCTTTTTTCGCCGTGGAAACACTAGCGCGCCTTTACTCGTCTCTAGTGACGATATGGTAAAATCAAAATATGTATGTATATTCAACAACATTGAAGGACTTCGACTGTATTCTCCTTAGAAAGTATGGAATTCCACATCGTATTGAAAAAGTTTGTGTATTTACATTTTTTGCACGGTGGAAATGTGATAAGAAGTTAGTTCCACTTAATGACATTAATAGCCATGCTAAAAAAAATGCTTCTTGTAATAACCCGGAAACCTACTAAATTCGTATAAAATATTAGTTAAAACAATTGCCAAATTTATTGAAAATTCAATTAACAACGTAAAACATCTGTCTCCAACAGCTTCTCAATTATCTTTATATCATCGTATATACTTCCAAGTATGGAATCCTATGCCCCTTTTTGTCTATTCCCTTTCTAACAGCGGACGTGCCTGCCAAACTGAAAAGCATGATGGCGGCAGTATTTGACAGGCACGTTCGACGATGTGAACGGAAATGAAAGGTAAGAAATGGAAGATGGATGACATGAGAATGAAAGAATTATAAAATAGCAGAATGTCGAACCAAAACGAATTTCAAAAATCTGACAATGCGAATGACGTCAAAATGAAAGAAATGCAAAATAGTGAAATGTCGAAACAGAAGAAATAGATGACAGACCCGTGTTCAAGGGTTTCGTGTAACAAAGAGTTGTTGTGTTGCGCCATTCAATATTAAAAAAAATTCAATGTGGTTAAATACGCTTTTTTATTAAGTTGAAAAAACTACATACATATTTCGCCAGCCAAAAAGTGTATAAATAAATATATAGCATCTTGCTATAAGATTTATTTATAAAAACGGTATATGCTTATGGCCTTATTCATAAAAAATTAAATAGATTTAAAGAGCTCTATACAGCAACATTAAGGCTGCGTTTCTTTATACATTCCGGATAAACCCATTTCACAACCAGAATAAACAGAATGCCATTGAAATATACGTTTACATATCATCAGGAACGTTCTAAAGAATAAGTAAACAAAAAAGTTTATTCCAAACGTTCAGAATGAATAAAGAAATGCAGCCTAAAACAAATAGATTTGTTTACTTTTTAAGAATTTTCGTATAACATTTAACTTAACTTTTTGTGCACCCATCTCTTTTTCTGTATATTATTCTCAAATAATTCTTTTCCTTAATACTCATTTGACTGAGTTTCAATTACACCCAGTTAAAATCATGATAAAAACATTAGAAAGTAAAACCATTGTCTCAATTCGTCGGCCATGATTTTATTCTGACGTTTGCAAACATTTTAAAATCATATAAATTTGAAAATAAAAAAATGAAATTGTTCACAATTGTTGTTGTTTGAGATTAAAAATGAGAATGTGTGTGTGAGCTTGAATTCGAATTTTAAAATTATATTGCTGGCAAACGTCAGACTGTCTCAATGATTTTACCTTGTAATGTTCTTATCATGGTAAAAATCAAAATATTTTATAGATTTCCTCCTTCGCACACTTCTCGCAGTATTTTGTGGTTGAAATGACTTGATCGCCTGCAGAAACTAATCAATTTTTTTGCCAAAACCAAAGCAGACGGGAAGGAAAAATACGCGCTACTGCTCACTAAATTTGAAAAATCAAATTTTTGTTCAGTTAATTGTTATATTTTTCTTCGTTGTGGAAAATTTCCACATCATCACAGCAGCTGACTGTCAAACCGAAACCAGAAAAGATACCAGAACATTTACGGCGCAATCTTCTTTTCTATGACCATTGTACTGCTTCTTTGAATTTCTCAATTTTGACAATTCTGATCTAAAAGTAGACGAAACCTCAGAAACTTTAAATGCACTGCAATTCACTAATACCTACTTCCGCAAAAATCACCTTTTTAGTATTTTCCTTGTTAAAAGTTATTTTAAATCATATATTTTTATCGCCTTATTCATAAAAAAAAAAGTTTCAAAAAGCTTTTTAAATTGCCGTTTGCGAACATTTTTCAATTTATAAACCTTTTTTAAAGCTACTTTAGTTTTTTGAATAAGGCTATTCGAATTTAGCACAATTAAAACACGTTCCCTATCGAACAATTTATTATTACAATTCGACTTTGTTTACTTTTTATTACAGATATGTGATCGATGATATACGTTATTTGATTATATCTAACTCATACTACTTTTAATGCTAACCATATTCATTAAAATCATTTCCATTCGTAATGAAAGTATTTTACATACTTCTAGTCTAAATATATTTTTTAATATAAACTAGCTTTTTTAATTCTAAGATTAATCAACAATCTCAAGATTTATAAAAAATGTTTCTTCAAAAAATACGTTCCAAAGCATCCCTGCTGATATCATAATTCAAAAGCAAATTAGAATAGAAATTTTGATGCAAATACAAATTTATCACCTAACTTGTCCGTATGTCGCTCTGGAAAGAAATATATTTTAATTTACATGTTTTCTTAAAAATAAATGCAAATTTACATATANTGCTGATATCATAATTCAAAAGCAAATTAGAATAGAAATTTTGATGCAAAAGATTTTCCGTGGTATTCACCATACAAATTTATCACCTAACTTGTCCGTATGTCGCTCTGGAAAGAAATATATTTTAATTTACATGTTTTCTTAAAAATAAATGCAAATTTACATATATTTTCCACCGGCAGGCACGAATATGGTATTCAAAACAGAAACAATGACAACGAATTTTACACACATTGTTGTATTTTAGCGCAAAACGATAAGTTTCACAAATATTTTAAATTATTGCCTGGAACATACACATTTATCGTTATTATTGGAAATGCAAGACTTGGCATGCATTTTTAATTTCTTATTTAATCAATTTAAATGAATAAAAACACATTTTTCTAAAATATTTCTCAATTTACATTTTAAAGTTTTTTCTGAAACTTGAATGTAACTCTGTGCGGAGAATAAGGGAACTGAAAATCAGGTGATCCCAGCTGTTTTAAAATGTAAGCAAACAAAATGGCGCTTTCCATACTCCTAGGCCTATACAATGCTTTATATTTTCTTAATGACGAAATATTCTACGATAGTAATGATCAATAAAAACTCGATTCAATTAGTAGCATCGATAGGTCTCCACATCCCTCCAATGCTTTTTAACTTCAGAGTCAACCTCGGGTTAGGGACCTCCGGCTCCACCGGTTCCACCATGGATTCAAATCCCTGAAAACCATTAAGTGGCAAATCACCCTTATGCAAAGGTGCGTATTATCGTTAGACTTTGACGTCCTGGGAAGCTTCTTTAAATGACTGATGTTACTCCTGTAGACTTTATTATCCTTACGAATTGTGACATCGTTTCCTTTCCGCTCAACCACTTCAAATTCTTCCGCCCCAAACGTCGGTGTCAATTTGATTGGAAAAAATACGTTCTGCATTAGTACTCTACCTCCAATCTTTATATCGCTCTCTTTTGCTCTGCGATCTTTGTCTGCCTT